GGGAAATGTTATTGTTCTTTTGATTAAATATGATTCGATATGGCGGAGGGGGTATTTACGATTGGATAGTTTGTAGATAACAATGGCTGGATGTTGTGATTGTATTATTATGGATGCTGTGTGGATAAAAACAAGATGGATGTTATCTGGATGAATCGGCAGCTAAGAAATGTTGTAAACAACTCATAGCATCAGATTTTTCGTGTAGTTGTGTAACTGATATGGATTGTTAACACCCAAGGATAAGACCACATTTGTAATGAAATAAAGACCATATCTAGGTAGAAACAAAAACCACATATTAAGGAAACAAAGAGCACGTCTAGAATAAAACAAAGACCATATCTAGGAGCAAAGAAAGACCACATCTAAAAGGAATCAAAGACCACATTAATGAAACAAATAACACATATTAAGGAAGCGAAGACTACATCTAGGTTGTAACAAAGACCATATCTAAAAGGAACCAAAGACCATATTTGGAGTGAAACAAAGACCATATTTGGAGTGAAACAAAGACCAAATCTAGTAGGGAACAAAGACCATATTTGGAGTATAACAAAGACCACATCTAGAAGGAAACAAAGACCATATATTAAGGAAACGATATTAAAACATCGCAGAATTGATTACCCGTAGAAAGACGCAGGAGTCTATCGATGTTCTAGCGAGGTATTTCCTGTTCCAAAACCAGGCGAAGATTTACGCACACGTTAGTGTAAGTTAGCCTGTGATTCTATGCTACACCCACCGTAATTAATCTTTAATTATTTTACTAATTCTATAATGACTCCCTTTTTCAACCTACTAGCCTAGAAAATTAATTTATTTTAGGAAAGTAATTATGTTTTTCGTTACCAAAAGATAAGTCCCCGGGATCAATTACCTCCTAAGAAACCAAGTTATTTTAGTATATGGATTAGAACACTGCACTTAGTAAGACTGAACATGCGCAGCGATCAATGTCTATTTATAGCAAGTGAATAAGGTCATGACCTTAAAGTAGGGGCAAGGTAACTGTTTCTGACCTAGCCGGGCTGATTTATCAGTGGGTGGATGCAGGTTTGGTGATACAAAGGATTAAGTCATGTAGTTTTTTGTCGGTCTGTGGTCGGGGTTCATCCCTCACAGTTTGAGAGCCAAGATCGAAGCCAGGAGATCTTCAAATGGTAATTAAATTTGGATCGATTTTTTCAAGAGTTTCCTCTGGCTACAATATTTTACGGATCAGAGCCGAGGTGCGTGGGTTAAGACAGAGATTGGGGGGGGGGTGTTGAGAAGGGGGGAGTTTGTTAAGATGGGGGGATGTAGAGATGGGGGAGTGTGTTAGGATGGGGGAGTGTGTTGAGATGGGGGGTGTTGATATGTTGGAGTGTGTTAAGATGGGGGAGTATGCTAGGATGGGGGAGTATGCTAGGATGGGGGAGTGTGTTAGGATGGGGGAGTGTGTTGAGATGGGGGGTGTTGAGATGGGGGGAGTTTGTTGAGATGGGGGGATGTAGAGATGGGGGAGTGTGTTAGGATGGGGGAGTGTGTTGAGATGGGGGGTGTTGATATGTTGGAGTGTGTTAAGATGGGGGAGTGTGTTAGGATGGGGGAGTGTGCTAGGATGGTGATTTGGTAGTAAAGATGGGTAGTTGAAGATGTATTTTACTGTGTTTTGATGAAGGTGTATGTTAAGTTGGTGATGATTATGTAACGTTATGTTGGTGATGGTGAATGTTATGTTGTGTTGGTGTTGGTGTATGTTATTTTGTTTTGGTGTATGTTACGTTGTGTTGGTGTTAAGGTGTGTTAGTAAAGATGGTACGGTATGTTGGTGATGGTTTATGAGGTTGGACTATAGTGTATGATTGGTTTGTGATGATTAGATGTGTTGGTAATGCTAAGTTGTGTTAATGATGATAATATATATTGATGATACTAAGATGTGTTTATTATGGTGCTGAACTGTATTGCTGACCTGTGTTAAGTTGGTTGGGGGGGGGGGGGGGGGCGTCAAGACGGACGTGATGAAAGCCAGCCACGCAGAGGCGTAGCTAGGGGAGGGCGGGGAGGGCGGCCGCCCCGGGCGCCGACCCTTGGGGGGGGCGCCAAAAGGGGTATAAAAAATTTATTAAAGTTCATTTATGGCTGCAGTTTTGAATTATAAACAGTAAAAGTAAAGAAATGTAACGGCTGAGAGCCCTTGCATACTGATTTAACTGTTTCTACCTTGATTGTGTAACTGTAAAACGTATATCCTTAAGAAATAGTGACCGGAAAAACCGCTTTCCAGCTTTCCTAGATGGGTGGGGGGGGGGGGGGGGGGGGGGGCGCTTTTTCGAAGACTAAAATCGGAAAAATTCACACCGGATCAAGGAATAAATAACCGATATCACTCAGAAGAGAAACACATTGAACTAAAGCGTATTTTACGATTGTGTAACATAAAAAAAGAGTTAGTGACGTTTAAAATCCACTCTACCATTTGTGTGCAAGATGGTGGGGCACTTTTTCACCAACAAAAACCGCAGGATATGTACTGGATCGGTGACTAGATAACTCTTTTAACACTTAGAAAAGAAATCAATTGTATTAACACTTAATGTACGATTTCACTACCCAGTTTTGATAAGTAATAACGCGACTAGTTCTTTGTACGATTCTTACGATTCTCTCAACTTCATCGAGAGAGATCTGATACTTTTACTTGATTGCATTATATCTTGCCTGGATCACTGCATTAAAGAGAAATACATATCACGGATTCTTGAATCGCTATCTGATCAGTAAAATAGCAGACTGTCGGGGCGAGTGGGTGGGAAGCGACACTCTTTGCCAAAACGAATCAGCACCGCTAAGATTTTAATTTTTTCTGATATTACTAATCATCATTTTTAAAGGATAATGCATCTTAACGGGAATTTTATTGGCGTCGAGTGAAGTTTTAGGGAACGACAATCAGCTTAATTGTTCATTTTTTTTCCAGACTGTCGCACACACATACATACACACACACACACACACACACACATATATATATATATATATAATATATATATATATATATATATATATATATATATATATATATATATATATATATATATATATATATATATATATGGAGGGGCGCCAAACTGAAAGTTCGCCCCGGGCGCCGGGAGGGGTCGCTACGCCTCTGCAGCCACGACCAAAGCCGCAAACATCTCTCCTTTAAAATCTCATTACATCCCCGCACCACTGACAATAAACCATTCCTTCGCTTCACAGCGAATCCACTTAAAAAAAAATCCTCGCATTTCGCCTCTTGCATTCAAACGGCTCTTGTCGTCCAGGTTTATGAGGTGAAAGGCATTCGAATTGGTCTTCTCATTGAATAGAAAGTTAGTTCCCTTGACAATGGCGAGTATTCTCCCCTCTGTGCATTAGCGAGTTTTGTCTTCCAGTCCTTGCAAGTTTTCACCTACATGGCGAGTTTATACTTTCTTTCCTGCCATGGCGAGTCGTCCCCCCTCTTTGTTACATCGAGTTGTCTCCCCACCCCGCTATTTCCCTGCCCCTGCCTGTTCGATCAATCACAAACACCAGCACTAAAATTAATGACGATTAGGAACGACAATTCCAAGTGACATTTATGTAAGATTAATCTTGACATTTCAAACACCGACACAACAGGGGTTTAATTTGTGAAATGTAAGGCTTTTATGTGACAATTAAACTAAAGTTTGTGATGATTATTTTAAATGCCTTACAAACAAACGAGTGGTATATATATATATATATATATATATATATATATATATATATATATATATATATATATATATATATATATATATATATGAAACTGATAGGTATTTACAAGTATATATTCGATTGATTAGTGCTAGGTTATTGTTGCGTCAGTGTTACGCATTGTTAGAGTATCTCATAGTATCACATAGTATCACTAGTTTCACATAGTATCACCACAGTATCTCATAGTATCACATAGTATCACTAGTTTCACATAGTACCACCACAGTATCTCATAGTATCACACAGTATCACTAGTTTCACATAGTATCACCACAGTATCTCATAGTATCAGCACAGTATCACAAATCATCACTAGCGTATCACATATCATCACCAGGGTATCACATATTATTATCACTAGAATATCACATCCTATTATATTTTGTCGAAGACAACGCTACTTCTAAACACCACTACAGATAAAATTTCACGTAAAAACTATTTCTTTGGTGTGGATATAAAGGGTGTGCATGAGATGTAGGGCGTGAGTAATCAAATCCACCAAATAGGTTCCATATAAGCTCCACTGGGTACAGGTTGGCCAAGATGCAGCGCCATCAGGGTTCGAATCCCGCATGATTTGGTTACGATAGAACTAATTAACGACCACGCAGGCTTACTTTTACATTTGCTCTCTACATGTTACCTTTGATAAAACGAGTACAAAAGTAATGACCGCCCTGATCTATAGTTTTTAATAGCACTGCGAGTAGAAATACACCTGCTTTCTCCTACAAGATACTTATCATTGTAATTATTATTTCTTGACAACGTTCAAGTGTAAAGTATACATTTCTTCTAAAGTATACATTTTCTCTTAAGTATACAAGTATGCTTCACGCAACCTGAAGTATGGAATCAAAAAACGAGAAACAAGGAGACATAACTCCAGGCGTTGAAGATCGCTCGCTGTCATTAATTCCCTTTATGTTTTCATGTGCTATCTCTTTTTTCTTTCTTTAATCTTCAAGGGAAACAACCATGTTAAGCACGGGCCAAGGGGAGATCAATACGTTGTTGGGTGATAAATTCTTAAACATTGACGACCAAACGCTTTGCATTTGGGTATTTAAATAAATGGACATCGCCCCCCCCCCCTCCCCCACTGAAATAGCGGATTAGAAACAGAGTATATATATATATATATATATATATATATATATATATATATATATATATATATATATATATATGTATGGATAGGTATGAGAACTTACTTGAGCCGACATTTGTCACTAATCCAATTCTCGTTGGGTTGAAACGACTTCTCGGGACATTGAACACACTGGAAGCTTCCGTCCCCCTCTGGGCAAGGGGATAACATATGACCTGTAACACAGGGGAAGATGTGGTTATACAGTGACAGTATGAGACATATAACATATATAATGATGCGGTTACATAACGACATATGACATGTAACATATATGAATTGATGTGGTTACATAATAACAGTATGACCTGTAACATATGTAATGATGTGGTTACATAGCGACATATGACTTGTAACATATATGAATTGATGTGGTTACATAATAACATTATGACCTGTAACATATGTAATGATGTGGTTACATAGCGACATATGACTTGTAACATATATGAATTGATGTGGTTACATAATAACATTATGACCTGTAACATATATAATGATGCGGTTACATAACGACATATGACATGTAACATATATGAATTGATGTGGTTACATAATAACAGTATGACCTGTGACAGAGTCGACTGCCATAATGACAGTATGACGTTAAACCACAGACAAGGCCAGTCTTGCAAAATAACAGCGTGACGTCATCATACAGCAAAATGTCATACACACACCACACGAGTACATGCAAGAATTTTTGGACATCAATTTGTATATTTTTTTTATTTTGAAGAGGGTGTGCTAACTACTTGGTACATGTAAGTACAGAGTCATCGAGAGAAAAAAAAATACGTTGCTGCGAGCGAAAAGTAGTCGAGAAATGGTTGGGTACGGTGGTGGAGAAAAAAAAATCAATTGTTGAAAAGTCGATGTTAAAGAGGGGAAAACTGGCGGGAATGGTGGCAATAATTCTATCAAATGTTCCAGAAGTGACTGGGGCCAGACTGGGAAACAGGCCTGTGGAGAGGTGAGGGTGGGGTGTGTGGGGGTGGGGAGGTGTGGGTAGGGTGTGTGGGGTGGAGGTGTGGTGGAATGGAGGTGTGGTATGTGAGAGTAGGGGGTGTGAGTTATTTTAGAGGATAGTTTTATTGCGTAATATGAGAAGTGTAAGAGGGTTATGTTTCACATTTTCTTTCAATCGACACCCCCCTCCCCAAACAGAGCTTTGCTAGTACACAAGATAGGATAATTTCTTGGGTAGCATAGAGAGCATAAAGACAGTTTGCAAAACAGGAAATGTATTTATGTTTTATATAGCTATAGGATAGATAGATATTGTTGAAGTGTCTTACACATAGCTAGAAACTAAAATAAAATATTACCATTAAATTTATGTAGTTAGATAAACATGATAAGTATGGATGGGTATGTATATTTGTGTGTTGTGTGTTATGTAGAAAAAGTAAACAACTAGAATAAATCCTAACAAAATTTAGTTGAGCTGTGGTTAAATGTTCGGCAAACAGTATAGTATATTGGCATCTTAATGAAAAAATTACCAAAAAACAAAATGTGGCCTCCCCCCCCCCCCCCCCCACGCTTTGAGAAAAACCTGGGATAGTTGGTAAATCTGGCATCTCCCACGTCAGGTCACCCCCCCCCCCCTCCCCTCACACACACACCACACACATATATCAGTTACTTGCCTTACCCCAGCAGACGATAGAACAGACACGTCACGTGACACGACCACAACCCCCACCCCCAACCGATCGTTACCCTGATACAAGCAGGTGCGAACCGCAAACTCTGACAGTAGCCGCTGATAATGCCCAGTGAGGCAGATTTGCCCTGCCACGGGGCAGATATGCCCTGCTATGTTTGTAAAATCCCGGAACAGCTGACACGTTTCGAAATTTCTAAAAAAAAAAAATACGAAGATAACCCAACGAACCAATTTCTTTCCGCCCATTTTAACGGATAAGACTTACACACCCCATCCTCAACAGCTCCACTCCCTACAATATAGCAGCTCCACTACTGTTATGAAAGGAACTTTTAAAAATATCGCAATGACGACTTAGTCGCAAAAAAAAAAAAATTAGATAAAAAACAAAAATAACCAAGAAACATGCCAAAATAGAAGCAATCAATTTAGGCTTCCGAAAATGCATCCCGTTCGTGAAAATCCGGATAAAGATTATAAAAAAGTGACACGGATTAAGCTTTTCATCCATTAAGCTTATTTATCATCCTTTGTATCTGTTTATCGTCGGCTCAATGTGTTAATCGTCAAATCGCTGGTTGATTAATGGACCGCGCATAGCGTTAACCTTAAAACGATGACGTCAGAGGAACAAAATGTCGCCAGATTCCACCTGTATGAAGGAAAAACAATAAAAAAAAATACCCCACAAGGAGAAAGCCGCATCAAATTAACCCTTCCGTTTCCTAGCGAGTTTCCGACCCTAAAAAAGGGCGGAAATTGTTCGTTGGAGGTGCTATGATGTTAACACCTAGCACTGCAGACAATGTGGGGGAACCAAAAGTACTCATCTGTATCTGGTGTCAGAGTTACATTTAATTTGTAAGCTGGTATAAAAATAGTTCTAGAATTTTCCCTATAAGCCCATTCAAGTTGTATCTGAGAATAGCCGGCAGGGAAACGTAAATAATTCATCTTGTTTTTTAAGTTTTACAAAGTGCACAAAAAAAATATGTTAACAAACAGGCACACATGTCTACAGAAGACTAGGATGTGTGGAGTGGAGAGGTGTGGTGTGGAGAGATGTGTGGGAGAATGTGGATGTCTACAGAAGACTAGGATGTGTGGGGTAGAGAGATGTGTGGAGTGGAGAGATGTGTGGGGTAGAGAGATGTGTGGGAGAATGTGGGTGACCACACGGGGCAGTTGGAGCACTAGACAAAAGGCAGGGGCGGTGGGGTGTCTCTACAGGCACGCCATACTTAAAATTAATTCATATATCAGTGGTTCTTGAAGGAAGGAAATGGTGGAGGCCCTATGTTCCATAAGGAGCTAAGAGTACTAAGTCAAATAAGTCTTGACCAGTGTTCCATCGAACTTCCCGTGGGTTAGGTGAGTCTGTCTTAGGGGTTCGGCGGGGGTCAAGACACACTACCGAATCATATGATTCACGATTAGATTTTGTCTATTCGGACGAAAGAACTGTTAAGAAGGGTGGGTCTGCGCATATAAAACTAGTGGGGTCCCGTACTTCCACTGGTTTATTTATTGAGGGAACAAAAAGGACAGCCCGGGGTAGATATCCCCTCCTGATAATCGTAACGGTATTAATTTTATCATGAACTAATTCAAACCGTGGAACATACATCAAAAACCTTCTTCGTTCTTAATTTAGTGTTGGAATGGATTCCAACACAATTAAGCGTTACGTGTCAACTTGCTTTGCACCATACATGCCATTGACTCCGATTTCAGCCTGCTTTTCTTTTTGGATTTGCTTCCATAGCCTTTATAAAACCAAGAAAAAACTACATAGCAGCAGTTGTTTGATTTTGTCCTGGGTGGGTTGCTGTCCCCAGCTATCGAGCCTCATCTGCCGGGGCAAATCAAGGACCAATTTGAGCAGTTTAAAAATCTATCACGAACCAATTCAAACAGTGCAAAAATCTATCGACCACCAATTAGGAGAGTGTAAAGTTTATACCACTATAAAACAGCCTTGAGCAAGTCTTACGTCACGGCACGTGCAGGCTAGTTAAAAAAAATCATAACTACCATGAGGGGGAGGGGGGGGGCTCTGAAGTAGACCCTGACGTCACTCCCCCCCCCCCCCCCCCCCCCCACATCGATCTGTTTTCTAACGTACCCCCGCAGTGGCTGTCCAGCAATAGTGGAACAACAGTACTCAACTCGACATAATTATGACAGGGAAGTAACTCGCGATCCACATCAAGGACGGATAACTTGTTTGTTATTCCAGATGAGGGCGGGGTCGATAGGGGGGGGGGGGGGGGGTCGATAGGCGAAGTGCATCATTCAAATGTCAGGGCAAATTTTAAAATTTGTTGTGCTGGCAGAAGTGGCCTTGAGTATGAGCAGACGTGACCTTGCTGTAAAGATGACGCGGGATTGTGTGAGGTAATTCGGTCATGTTACGTAAGAAGGGCGGCCGGCAATCTCACGCTTGAGTTGGACTGGATATGGATGGCCAACTGAAGAAAAGTCTGCTGAGCCGTGGGTGACACTAGGGACAGCTGTTCTCAAGGCTGAGGGGCTTTACTTTGCGACACTTCCATCAAGATTGAAAAATATCAACAATACACTAGACTAGTTAATGTATAAGAATTTCGATAATCATATAGTTTAATGTATAAGCATTGCGATAGCATACATTTTTTATAGTATTGCAAAATATGAGTCATGCTTATGGCAATTACTTTGTTAACTTTGTTTATTATTAAAAAAAAGGTTATAAAACTTAAACCAAATGTATATACTTAAGGTTGAAATAATTCATTGAAAATATATCGATTTATTCGCGAAATATTTTTAAAAGATGCATTCAACACTGAAACGCCTATAATTTGAAACAGCAACATTTTGTATATTTCCTCGCATAGTTTATAATACAAAAAGATACAGACACAAGGATTTTATTACCAAGAGCTTTTAGATCTTATACTGATTACTGCTTATATGTTTCTTGGTATGTGTCTACGATACACATATAATCGGACATGCTTCCAGTAATTTAAATAGCAGCACATACACACGTCATCACAAAAAAATATTTTGGCATAACTTTATGGTAATTTACAGCAAACATTGACGGTTTAAAAACATCGGTAATTTTTTTTTTAAATAAAAAAAAAACAACAACGACATAATCATTTTTTTTTGTTATTGTGGATTGAACGCTTAAGGTGGAATTTAAAAAGTTTTTAAACACGAGCAGTTTCAAAACAGCGCGTTTAATGTGTGTGTGTGTATTGGGCCATGTGTGATCTGAGGTTTTGCAGAGTTTCTAAGGCACACGGTTGGTTCGTATATATATGTGTATGTGTACGTGTGTGTAAGTACGTCTCAGGTAGCTAATTTGATTGGTTTAGCTATGCCACCCACAAACCGGAGACCGGCCTGCCGGACAATAAAACCGGTCCGTCTGAGACCAGATGAAACCCAGACACGGGCCGCCCCTCCGTTTGTTATCTTGAAGCGTTTGTCCAGGCTTCAATTGCCGGTTACCTCTCCCCGACCATCTATTCCTTCCAATCAATTGTCGCTGATGGCACCCCCCCCCTACCTACCCGAGGATTTATCTGACCCGTCTCCCCCCCCCTACCCCAGGATTTATCTGACCCGTCTCCCCCTCGAACCAGGCCCGTGATGCCACCTAATGCCAGCCCTAATGTGATTAAAGGTACAAAGGCCGCAATCAGACGAACCCTGGGGTTCGGGGTTTCACCATCTTCTATTGATTTTAATCCCGTTTAGGGGGTGGTTTGAGGGGGGGGGGGGGTTGGAAAGAGAAGAGTATAGTAGAGACAAACGGTAAAACACTTGGTAGATATTGACAGGTTTAAACATTACTACCCCGGCATTCTATTTATAGCATTTCTGTGTCATCCCCAGTATTACAACATAACCGTGACTGACATTTCGGTTTATAAATAGCTTCACTGGGGCGAGAAGCGTGCGCTAATTAATGACCTACTAAACCGAGACAGTGACCTAGTTTCGGAGAACCATTTCACAACGTCTGCCAAAGAAAATGTCTTTTAAGGAAACTGTCTGCCAAATTATACATGTTATGTAAAAAAAAAAAAAAAAAAAAAAAACATCCGAGGAAAAAAAACCTCCGAGGAAAAAAACAACGTATTGGGGTTTCCATTAGTCGGAAGGAGCAAGCCTTAAAACGTCTGAAAAACGCGGAAGTAGAGAGAGGAATGGGAAGTATTGGGAATGGAAAAATTAACAAACTTATTTGTGTCCGCTTTTCTTTTAAAATACTTCGATCATTACCTTAAAATAGACGAGAATTTTGAGAAAAAAAAATGATGTATATAAGAAGAACTTCTTAAAGTTCAATGTTGTTGCTCGCGAAATTTAAAGACGATGACATTTTATTTACTTAACAAAATGTAAACGTGGTGAATAGTGCACCTTAACATTTTTTTCACGAATTTAAAATACATGGGACACTTAGGCCTAAAAGGTTTTGAAAAATTAGTTTATTTTAATTATAACTAAGAGAATTTCTTTTGTGTATTAGAATAAATTGCTTAGCTTTTTTTTTGCACTTTAAGGCATAATAGTGTGAGTTGCTTTAGCAGCTAGAATATTCTGAGTTGTTTGTGTATGTCTTAAGACAATGGAATGGATGAGTTATCTTGATAGCCACCTTGACCCGACTTACGACCTATTAAACCTGACAATATGAAGTCTTCTTCGTCCTTAATTTTAGTGTTGGTAGGGACTTCTCCAACACAAGTATACGTGTCAACTGGTTATGCGCCTTTGAGGCCATTGACTCCGATTTCAGCCTACAAGGCAGCAGTTGTTTGATTTTGGAGTCGTCTCTCCTAGAAGAGTGGCTGTCCCCAGCTAACGAGCCTCATCTGCCCTTGAGTTCGAACTCGAGACTTTTCAGTTTAGCAACTCTACTCACAAGTTAAAGCCTAAATATTAAGTGACCACAGACAATTTACGGCCTATAAAACCTGACAAAATGAACTGACCACAGACAATTTACGGCCTATAAAACCTGACAAAATGAACTGACCACAGACAAGTTACGGCCTATAAAACCTGACAAAATGAACTGACCACAGACAAGTTACGGCCTATAAAACCTGACAATATGAAGTGACCACAGACAAGTTACGACCTATAAAACCTGACAAAATGAACTGACCACAGACAATTTACGGCCTATAAAACCTGACAATATGAAGTGACCACAGACAAGTTACGGCCTATAAAACCTGACAAAATGAACTGACCACAGACAAGTTACGACCTATAAAACCTGACAATATGAAGTGACCACAGACAAGTTACGACCTATAAAACCTGACAATATGAAGTGACCACAGACAAGTTACGACCTATAAAACCTGACAAAATGAACTGACCACAGACAAGTTACGACCTATAAAACCTGACAATATGAAGTGACCACAGACAAGTTACGACCTATAAAACCTGACAAAATGAACTGACCACAGACAATTTACGGCCTATAAAACCTGACAAAATGAACTGACCACAGACAAGTTACGACCTATAAAACCTGACAATATGAAGTGACCACAGACAAGTTACGACCATTACAACCAGAGAAAATAAACTGACCCCACACAACTTACCAGAGGGGCATGAGTCTGTCTCCAACTTGGGACATACTTTGTTGTTGGTTCGATCCGCCGGCATGATCTGAAACAATCGAAAACAAAACATCAGCATCTTACAGCAGGCTTAACGTTTTGCTAGTCAGTCAAAACATCAGCATCTTACAGCAGGCTTAACGTTTTGCTAGTCAGTCAAAACATCAGCATCTTACAGCAGGCTTAACGTTTTGCTAGTCGGTCAAAACATCAGCATCTTACAGCAGGCTTAACGTTTTGCTAGTCAGTCAAAACATCAGCATCTTACAGCAGGCTTAACGTTTTGCTAGTCAGTCAAAACATCAGCATCTTACAGCAGGCTTAACGTTTTGCTAGTCGGTCAAAACATCAGCATCTTACAGTAGGCTTAACGTTTTGCTAGTCAGTCAAAACATCAGCATCGTTCAGCAGGCTTAACGTTTTGCTAGTCGGTCAAAATATCGTTTGCTAATTATACAAACATCACTCAAAACAGACAAAACATCACCATTTTATAGAAAGAATTTAACTTTGCAAGTAAAAATAGACCAATCATCATTCACTACGAGATGTTTGACAAAATATTTACACATAAAGGAATCAAAACAGTAAAAAAAAAAAACGAAAGTCAATTTGTTTAAAAAAGAAAAAAACAAATTCAGCGATCTTTAGACGTAATAAAAACAAGCAATATCTTACTAAATATACGTTTTATTCCAATGCAACATATCTTATCCCTCTAAACTAAATAGTCTCAATCCAAATTACAGACTTTGGTATCTAAAAGTATTTTTTTCCTCACAATACTAGCATTCACCCACCCCACCCACTGTAGATCGTATGTGTAAGTAAAAGCTTAAAAGACAATGATGAAAATAAAAAGTGCCACCATTTAACCGCAATGTCACAGGGAGTTGGGGGCCATGGCACAAGACAGAGGCAAAGATAGGATGAGACAACTCGATTAGACTCACACAGGGGAGATAACTTATTTTGGTCACACTACACACCCACTACATTCTACACGAAGAATTTGGAGATTCTCGTGTATAAAGTTCTAATATGAATGATTCATATGAGTTGGAGAAAAGAGAGACCATTATTGAAAATGATACTTCAACAAATTTCCAGTTTTGAAAATAAAAATACGCTTTTCGTTAATGTAAATTGATCAGTTCATTGTGGGTTTTTCACAAGAGAACAATAACGGCTATTTATAACAATGCAGCCCACGCATTCCTAAACAGTTTTTAAAGTCCTTTCTAATCAAAATGAAATCTGAATCTCAGGTGGTTACTGTCACATAATTAAAATACCTGCCACCTGCTGTGATTTTTTAAACTAATTAGAACTTTTTGTAACATAGTCGATGATGGCACCGCACATTCACCCACACACATCCTATGTTAGCACCACCTATTCACCCACATCCTATGTTCTAGCACCACGCATTCACCCACATCCTATGTTCTAGCACCACGCAATCACCCACATCCTATGTTCTAGCACCACGCAATCACCCACATCCTATGTTCTAGCACCACGCAATCACCCACATCCTATGTTCTAGCACCACGCAATCACCCACATCCTATGTTCTAGCACCACGCATTCACCCACATCCTATGTTCTAGCACCACGCATTCCCTCACATCCTATGTTCTAGCACCACGCATTCACCCACATCCTATGTTCTAGCACCACGCATTCACCCACATCCTATGTTCTAGCACCACGCATTCACCCACATCCTATGTTCTAGCACCACGCAATCACCCACATCCTATGTTCTAGCACCACGCAATCACCCACATCCTATGTTCTAGCACCACGCATTCACCCACATCCTATGTTCTAGCACCACGCATTCCCTCACATCCTATGTTCTAGCACCACGCATTCACCCACATCCTATGTTCTAGCACCACGCATTCACCCACATCCTATGTTCTAGCACCACGCATTCACCCACATCCTATGTTCTAGCACCACGCAATCACCCACATCCTATGTTCTAGCACCACGCATTCACCCACATCCTATGTTCTAGCACCACGCATTCCCTCACATCCTATGTTCTAGCACCACGCAATCACCCACATCCTATGTTCTAGCACCACGCATTCCCTCACATCCTATGTTCTAGCACCACGCATTCACCCACATCCTATGTTCTAGCACCACGCATTCACCCACATCCTATGTTCTAGCACCACGCATTCACCCACATCCTATGTTCTAGCACCACGCATTCACCCACATCCTATGTTCTAGCACCACGCAATCACCCACATCCTATGTTCTAGCACCACGCAATCACCCACATCCTATGTTCTAGCACCACGCAATCACCCACATCCTATGTTCTAGCACCACGCATTCACCCACATCCTATGTTCTAGCACCACGCAATCACCCACATCCTATGTTCTAGCACCACGCATTCACCCACATCACAGCACCACGCATTCACCCACATCCTATGTTAGCACCACGCATTCACCCACATCACACAGATCCTAAGTTCTAGAGGAGGGTTAGGTTAACTACAACTTACAGACTTCTTAAACCTAAGCCGTTAATTGATTAATGATACACTCCGTCACACTAGACTTCAAATGCTCAAAGTGGATTATTTTCTAAACGCAATCAGACACCTTAATTTATGGGGTGTCGTGTCACAACACAGCTTAAATATTTATATTAGACAATTACAAACGCAGTCAGACACTTTAAAGGTGTCGTCTTGCACAGCGGCACTGTATGATTCCTAGTTTAGACCCAGTCAACCGTAGCGGGTTAACCTAGCGAGACCAAGTGAGAAACTAAAAAACCACTTACCACCAGCAGATAACGACGTGATGCCCACATTGAGACGAGTGGGTTGGGGGTTTAATTAAACTAATTAAAAGATCAATTCTTTTTGTCGTTTATTTTTTTAAGACAACTGAGATGAAACTCGTTAATGTTGTAATTATATTCTGATGATCAAAGCCTTGATGAAACGAACAAAAAAAAAAAAAAAAACTGGTTGAGAATTGCATAAGTCGATAAAATTACTCGACACTCGAGGAAAGTGTTTTAAACTTTTCTGGAACTTCTTAACATCGATTGAAATATACAGGTGGTTGAACTCTGTGGCAGATATCACTACAGCGATGAAAACACAACTACCACGAAATGTTGTTAATTTCCTTTTGCACACAAAAATAAGTTTTGCTCTGAATTCAAGTAAGTAGCACCATCCTAACAAAATCCACAGGGTGTATTGAAAACCACCGTTTGAAAAAAAACAACAACCGCCGTTTGAAAATAAAAAAATCACAGTTTGAAACAAAACCACAGTTTCAACGGCCTGAGGCCGATCGTGTGAATGAGGGGAAGCGCTCACCGGAGCAGACGATCACGTCTGGTGTACTCACGTACCACGTGATCCAGTGACGATCGGATAATGGCAGAAAATTAACCCATTCACCAGCAGACTATCGAAAAAAAATGTTTTCTCTCCCCCCAACTGTGACTTTTCTCAGGGAAATCATGGGGTTCCGTTTTATCGCAAACCCCGTTTAAACGGTCATATATGAAAGTATAGGAAGTCGGTATGGGATTTCCTGGATAGACGACACCCAGTGACAATACTATAAATCCAGTGATCACTTAACTAAACAAGACAATTAAAAACTTGGATCTTCTAAAAACAAATTATAGTCAGACTTAGATAAGGAAACAAATTATCCTAAAAACAATGACACAAAAAAAGTGGTTTAGTAAAATACATAGAATGTTAAAGCATAATCAAATTTGTAAAAAAAAAAAATATCTTTATTTTTGTCGGAATACGAACAGAAATTTCCCGAAAGAATAACTGTTCTAATTATTAGTCTTTGTCGGTTATTTTTAATTCTAAAACTTAATCGACTATATAAAGAATCAACAAGTTACTACGTAAATGAGCTTAACTTCTCATTAATGTAAAAATAGAACGTGTATAAAACAACAAGTCAAGAGCGGCCTGCTGGTTCATTAGAAACTTTGGCAGCCCCACAACATAAACCGACAACGGCAGATTTTTCAAACAGATTATAATAGAAAAATAACAAGAGCCCGTGAAGTGTTTTGAAACTCTTACGCTGAACTTAACTTCAGATCACACAAAAAATCTGCACAACAAAAAATAAAACACTTGGGAGAGAAAATAAAATCATCACCTGAAAAACGCGGACGTACAAGAAATGACAGTGGAAGAGGAAACTTTTAAAAGAAGTTGTCAGTAAAGAAGAAAGACCGCTTGCTCGCAGGCTTCCCCCAATCAATAGATTGTGCAAAGAAAAGATGTTCGAGGTAATTTATACTTTTAACATACCTGTACTTTATTTCCTTCAGAAATCGTTGTTTCAGGTAGAAAAAAAGGTACGGTGAGGGTATGAACGTGTGTTTAAGTAGATAATAGTCAATTTTGGCAATGAGTACCTCCAACACGGTAAACACGACGGTGACCTATTTTTATGAGGTAAAACAAAGACTTGTTTACTTAAAGTTTGTAAAAAAAAAAAAGAAAACTCTTTGTTGTTAAATACTCCAGTAGACTGGACCAAAATGTCATTGTGTGGCGGTTTTTGTGAGGCCGACTATCTGTGTGTAAATATATGTATGTGTGTGTATGTATGTGTGTATGCATGTATACATATACCTAATTATCTACCTATCCACCTACCTACCCACCCACCCAACCTACCTACCTACCTACCTACCTACCTACCCACCCACCCTACCTACCTACCTACCCACCCACCTAACCTACCCACCCACCTAACCTATCCATCTATCCATCCATCCATCCATCCATCCATCCATCCATCCATCCATCCATCCATCCATCCATCCATCCATCCATCCATCCATCCATCCATCCATCCATCCATCTATCTATCTATCTATCTATCTATCTATCTATCTATCTATCTATCTATCTATCTATCTATCTATCTATCCATCCATCTATCCATCTATCTATCCATCTATCTATCCATCTATCTATCCATCTATCCACATGTTCATTTTATTTCAGAG